CTCCATGAGCGCACCAACAGGGCTCCGAGACGTCCCCGAGAGCCCCAAGAAAGGCCAAGAGGCCCCCAAGAGGCCCCCAATATGGTACACGAGGGGTCCGACATGCCACAAGATCGCTCCAAGACGCCCAAGATAGCCCCCAGACGCCCCAAGAGGCCTCCAAGAGCACTCCCAATAGGGCCCCCGGAGGCAAAAATCATTGTTTTTCCATAGGTTTTTGAGAGTTTTTGGAGCTTCCACCTTTTCGGCTTCCCGACGCCCCAAGACGGCCCAAGAGGCCCCCAAGATCGCCCCAAGAGGGCCCAAGAGGCACCCAAGAGGGCCCCAAGATGGCCCAAGAGGGCTCGAAGACGGCCCAAGAAGCCTCCAAAACGGTCCTAGAGGGCCCCAAGAACGCCCCCAAAGGGGCCCCAGAGAGGGAACACGAAACAACATTTCGAGCCCTCGGCCCTAAGAAGCCCCTACGAGGCCCCTAAGAGGCCCCAAGAGGCCCCCACGGGGCCCTCAGGAGGCCCCCAAGAGTCCCCCAAGCGGCCCCAGGAGGCCCCCCAAATGCCCCCCCGAGCGCCCCAGGAGTCCCCCAAGCGGCCCCAGGAACCCCCAAAGCGCCGCATTGACACCAGGCCCTCGGGCAAACGGCAGACATGAGACTGTATGGGCCGGCGGAATGAGCGAAGCGATTAAATAAATAGACACAAGCAACAGGCTTCCCCATGTTTTTCCATATGTTCTGGGAGTTTCCCTTCCCCCCCACTTCCCATATCCATACTTTCTGGGGGAATCGACGATTCATTGTGTCTGTGTGTTTTTTGTTCCCTCCTGGAGTGTGCGCAGCGGCGGAAGGAGCTCCGAACCAGAGCCCCCCCTGGGCCCGCCGGGCGCCGGCGCCCGGGGTGCGACTCGCGCGCGGGCTGGTGCGCACGGGCGCATGCTCTCCCCCCCCCCTTCCTGGCCGAAGCAGGCAGGCGAGAAGGCGAGGGCGAGACTCTCATCAAGTCGGGCGTGTCCCCCCTACGGGGGGATTTTCGATGAAAAATGAAACATGCTCAAAAAAGGCCCCGAAGTGGTCAAACAATATTATAAATTATCCTAGTGCGACCCTACCTAGGAGTTGGAGCCTATGCATGCTATGCCATGCTCTGCTCTGCTATGCTGTGCAATGATATGCTATGTTATGCTATGTTGCGCAATGCGATGCTGGGCTAGGCTAGGCTATGGTATGCTATGCTGCGCTATGTTATGCTGCGCTATGCTATGCTATGCTATGCTATTCTATGCTGTGCTGTGCTATGCTATGCTTTTGCTTTGCCTTCACTTTTGCCTTTGCTTTTGCCTTTGCTTTTGCTTGACACCCAGGGAGCGCAACTGGGGGAACCACGCGTTTGCTTTTACCTTTGCTGTTGCTTTTGCTTGGCTCCCAAGGGACTGGGGGAACCGCCCGGGGCGATTTACACTGCCCGGCCCCTTTAAGCAAACAGAGTAAGAGCCCTTCTAGGCAGAGCCTAGGTAGGGAAAAAGAGTCCCCAGACTATTGTTTGACTATGTTTGGATATTCCTCCTGTAGAGGGACAAGCCCGACTTAAGACTATCAGGAGGATCGGGGTGGAGGAGAGGAGTCCAGTCAGCCAGATCGAGCGAATCGGAAGGCCTCGCTCGCGCCCACCCGCCCTCCTGAAACAACACGGCCAATGGTGGCACAGCTTGGCGTTGGGATTGGACTGCGCTCCAACCTGGCAAACGGAAGGCGCTCGCGCGCGGTCCCGCTCCCGACGGCTGGGCGAGGGACAAGAAAATGCGGGCCGCGCGCGGACGGGAGCGGAACTGCAGAACAGTCCTTGCGTGGCGGTCAGCCCTCTCCCGGGCCGCCAAATTCCCGATGACGAGGTGGCGACGGAACATGCGCCGCGCGAGAACAGCACCCTGCTATGCTTTGGTGCATTTCCCCCCCCACACACACACACACACAAACTGCGCGGCACTGAGACGAGGACAGCATGTCCCCCCCCTCTCTCGCAGGGCCCCGCTGCCGCTGCCGATGTCACGCGATCCAACGGGCGGCATACGCGCCGCGCCCCAGCGGGACCGCCATTTCCACACGAAACCCGCACGGAGCTTTGGCAAGGGCTGCGACATCCCCCGCTCGCGCGCGGCCCCGCCCCCAACGACATGGCGAGCGAAAGACATCCGCCGCGCCCACGCGGGAGCGCCACTTTTGGACGAAGTCTGCGCGGCGCCGAGGCGACAGTGTCGCCCGCTCACGTACGACCCCGCTGTCGGCCAATTGGCGAGCGAAAAACGTGGGCCGCGCCCAAGCGTGGACCCAGTCCTCTGGAAAAATGGACGGCGCCAGGGCGAGAGTGAATCCCGCCAGCCCTTTAGGGCGTCGGTGGTTTAGGGCACTTCCTCTTCCAACCCCCTTCGTCCCCTTCGGGGAGTGGTGTATCACTGCCCTTCATCAATCGACACCCCCTTCCCCACCCGACCAGCGACAAACCCGGGCAAATGACAACACCCCGCTGCCATCCCGATCAAAAACACGCACATCGCGGCAAAATCTGGACCGTGCGCGAGAGTTCCGTGAGCACTTTGCACTGACAGGGGCGCCTAGGGTGCCCTCAGATTGTCCGCTCTGTGCAGGCCCACCATCCCCGTCGAAACACCATGCACAACACCGTGCGCCAACGTCTAGACTGTGCGCGAGCGCCCCAGGACCAATGTGCATCAGCATTTGACAGGGACGGCGGGGGGGGGCATACAGTCGAGGCGTTGACCTAAGGAACCCTGAATTAGGAACGAGGCCCCTTTTTCCCATAAGTTCAACCTCGATTTCCCCGGGAAAACCTCAGGAAAACCCGAGGCAAACTTGAAACAATCAAGGAACACCGAGCCCCTCCCCAACGAAAAGGGTTCCTTCTTCAGCGCCCCGACTGTATTGTCCGCTCTGCACGGGCCCACAATCTTTTTCAGAACGCCACGGAGACAAGCACGGTGGTTCCAGACTGTGTCTGGGCAGGCGGCTTCGAGGAAGAACGACGCACGCTGTGTGAATTGGTGTTGATGCTTCGGGCTCCACGCTTTCTACAAAATGTTCGGCACTACGTTTCCGAGGGGGCCCTAATTCATGAACTCCTTGGGACCCGGGCCTCAGGTCAGGATGTTGTTCAAGTGTTGGGAAAGCCGGTGGGAGTGAACAACACGGTTTGCGGCTTGGGATAACTTGATCACTGCTCCATTAGAATGCACATCCTCTCCCCCGCCCGATCGGCGACAAGCCTGGAAGAACGCAGCCCCCCAACCATCCGTGGCAAAAACAATGAGAAGTGCACCTCGCACTATAATCTAGATCATGCGCGGACGCCCCGCAACCACTTTGCATTGATGTTTGAAAGGGACGGCGGGGGTGCTGGCATATTGCCTCATGTGTGCAATGCCGACAATCCCCCACCATTCTTTTCAAAAACAATACCACGTGCACTTTGCACCGACATTTGGATCATGCGCGGACGCCCCGCGATCGCTTTACATTGATTTTTGACGGGGGGGCATATTGCCTGCTGTGCGCAACAAGCCTCAGCCATCCCTTGCAACAAATCGTGCAGATTGCACGCTGCACCATCAGATGGATCATGCACGGACGCCCCGGAATCACTTCGTATTGGTTTTTGACAGAGATCGCGGGGGGAGGGTGCGGCGTACTGTTTCCTGTGCAGGTCCACAATTTGCGTGTCAGCAAATACAATTGATCGCGGGCACACACCCACACGCAGTACACAACGCTCGCAAGCCAACCGTCAGTGGGCATTGGTTTTTGGCAGAGATGGGCATTGTCTTTTGGCAGAGATGGTGTCAGGACGTATTGCCCAACGTGGCGCACCTGGTGCGCGTGGCACCCATGGCATGTGCGGCGCGCTACGCGGGCTTCGCGCATCTGGCAGGCGGCTGCGCTGGTTTCCGGCAGTTGTCGTGTCGATGGCGGTCTTTGCCTATGCTGAGACTCGGATATCACTTCTGCAGTGGGGGCGGGAGTGAGCGAGACAGCATGCGGCGCTCTCACTAGGACCTTGGCCCCTCCCCCCAGTACCCCCCCCCGGCCCTGGACGGGGGAGCGCCACGAGCGGTCGCACGGCCGAAAACAGTCTGGGCTGGTTCCAAAAGGGCCGTCAATAGCACTCCTGCTCCGCGTCCCCCTCCTCCTCCTTCTCCTCCTCCTCCTCCTTCTCCTCCTTCTCCTCCTCCTCCTCCTCCTCCTCAGAGAGGGAGCAACAGGTATCGGTGCCGCTGCACCTGCCTCGATTTCGCCGTCTTTTCGGTATCCAAGGAGGCCCTCGTCGCCACTGCTGGATTCGCCTCGAATTCCGAGTCAGAACGCACCCTAGAGGAGGTCTGGGGAGCAGCAGTATCAGTAGCTTCTGGGTTTCTCCTCCTCCTCCTCCTCTCCTCCTCCTCCTCCTCTCCTCCTCCTCCTCCGTCTTCTGTCTCCGCCTCCCGCCGCGCCGCCGCCAGCCACCCTCCCTCCCTCCTCCTCCTCCTCCTCCTCCTCCTTCCTCCTCCTCTTCCTCCTCCTCCTCCTCCTCCTGCTCCTCCCTCCTCCTCCTCCTTTTCTTCCTCCTCCCCCTCATCCTCCTTTTCCTCCTCCTCGTCCTCCTCCTCCCCCTGGCGGAAAGGCGCGGTCTGTCGCGCGACCGCGCCGCCACTCCCTGATGCCCTTCAGCGTCACGAGGACGAGGTAGACGCCCTGCACCACCAGCACGCTCAAGCGGCGAGCGCCGCGGCCAGCACCGCGCGCTCGCGCGGCTGGGCCGTCTCGGCCCCCAGGGAGGTCCGCCGCTGGCGCGCCGTGGCCGCGTGGAGGGCCGCCGACAGCTCCGCGCCCCAGCGGCGCGCGAGGGCGCCGACCGCG